CCCCCCCCCCCCCCCCCCCCCCGGGCCTTAAACTGCCGGTCCAAACACACGCAGGTCTGTCTCTTGAGTTCCACAGTCCATGGACCAAGAACAGAGTCAGGTGATCAGAGACAGAGCATCAGAGAAATGGATCATTCCTGCAGGAACAGAGGAAGCTGTAACATCAACAAGATTCAGGGTCAGCTGATCCTCCTGTTACAAGTTCTGGAAGTTATAGCTCATTTAAAGGCAACATATATTTTGTTGCATGTTACATTTATGCTCAGCAGATCTTAAGCTTCATTTTATTCAGGTATTTTGGGAAACTGCACCTACACTTTAGTTTTTGTGGTAGATTTTGTTGATCTAAATTTTGTGCAGACTTTTTCAATCTAAGTAACAGAAGGATCATTTTTATTTTTTATTTTTATACTTTACTAAATAAAGTAATTTCAGTTAAATTAACCCTTGTTTTTTTTGTTTTATATAATACTACGAAGCAACATGTTAAATTAATTTAGTCAAATAAATAACTGATTTCTGTTTTGTTTTTTTTGTTGTTGTTATATCACGATATTTATCGTTATCATCAGAATGCTCTGAAGTATCACAATATTATATTTGAACCATATCGCCCACCCCTAGTAAGTAGTAGTTTATTTTAAGTATTTTAGTATTTATAAAAAAGTCTTAATGGGCTCGGCGCGCTTATGGGTCCTCCTGGGCCCTCCTGGGCCGGGTACCAGCTCTCAAGATTCTCAGATGGGTCTGGGTCTGGTTCTGCTCTGGTTCTGCTCCAGTTCTGCACTTGTTCAGTGGGTTCAGTGCAGCTTCTATGCATACACTGGGCTCCAAGCAGATCAAAACTTTACCTCTATTTTTTTCAGCAGAAGGAAACGGGTCTTATGGGCGGGACCCTGTTGCCTTCTGGGAAACGTGGTTTGTTGTGATTGGGAATACAGTAGAGGCTTACTGAGAGAAAAGTACAAAATGGTGAGGCCTGTCCGAAGTATTTTATTTTTGTCATTAACTTTTTCACAACCACATGAGTACAGTGATACAGTATTACTGTACATCCACAAATTTTTATTTATTTATTTTATTATTTTTGTCCAGTACAGTATATGGACTGTACGTCCACAAACCGCGATAGAGCGAGTCTGTGACAGTCGAACCGAAAAGTTGCGAGGGACTACTGTATTAAAAATATCGGATCCCATTTTGCCTTTTACGCCAGCTGTTGAATATTGTCTGTTTTACTGTCTGTCTTCTCTAATTATGAAATATTTTTTGTGTGTTTGTGTTTTTAGGTTCCATCGGCCGTAAAAAGCTCCAGCTGCAACCAGAAGCTCTGTGGGCCGCAGGTCCTAGCGGTCCTCCAGCCCCTCACTCTCCATTTGCTTCTGAATCCAGTTGACCTTTTTTTCCTAACAAGACACTTTGAATTGCCATAGCAAGGAAAGCTCCGTTGTTTTTATTTTAATTTTTTTCTTTATTTGCAACATTAAACATGGCTGCATTTGATTTAGGAGAGCCAGATGCAAGACTGTGGGGTTGTGCTTGTTTGAGTTTAATGGAAGTTTTAAACTGCTGCAGCTGTTCAAAATGTCTTCTGTGGAGAACATCTGTTGCGTCTGATGATACCTAATTAAAATGACAGCTACAGTAATGTCTTAAGGCCATTTGGAGGCATCAGTGGGACATTTGCACATATCTATGGTGAGAATATCGCTGTGTATAGCTTGCTGGACAGAACATTTATTTATTGTAAAGTACCATTTTTTTATTTTTTTTGTTCTTGTTTTCTGTTTGTTTTTGTTTGTTTGTTTTTGTTCTCCTCAGACCTTGTATTGCTAGGTCCCTGTGAGAGAGAGAGAGAAAAAAAGCAAAACTATATATTGTTAATGTGGCTCAATGTAATATAAAGTCTGCTTGCCTTGTCAGAATACTATGACCATATATGGACATCCTGGTAGAACAGGAAATGGGATGATTGGAGGCTGGTGTGATGTCAGTCCCTGTGTTAGTTGGAGGAAGAGAGGCTGTTCATTCTGGTCTGATGTGCCTCTGTGCTAACTCAAACACTGCAGCTTCTTTTTAAGCCATATTTAGATTAGATTGCCACTAGAGGGGGTTATATTATAAAAGTTACAGAAGGAGGCTCTGGATGTTGGAGGAGAAATAACCTGCGTTACATTTAAACAAATAATTAAACTAGATATCACCCTCTTTGTAATTCTAATACCCCAACATGCCTCCTAATAATACATGGTGATTTTATACCTTCAAACATCCTGAGGTAAGTTACCAATGATCTTGTTTTATTGGAGTTTTTTTATTTGGGATTTTTTTTTGACAAGAGGAGATGGTGCCAAAGAAAAGGCAGGGATTTATTTATTGATTAGGTAAAAGCTTACAGGTTTGAGTTTGTTGGGGAACGTGATATGATTTTTTTTTCTAAATGGGGTGCTGACTGTTTAACCTCAGAGGCAAGCAGCAGGAAGTCAGAAAAATACTTTGGGGTTTTTTTTAACACGCTTTCTCAACATCACCTCCTCATTTTGACTAAAAAACAGCGAAAATACCAACAAATGTTTACCAGAGGGCTGTCATTTGCAGCTCGTGTGCATCATCACGTTCTCTTTATACGTCGCTGTAGCGTGCACCTTGAATTCAGGTAATTACTCAGTTCAGTTTTATTTTTTGGTATTTTTGTGTTTAAAATAACCAAGTATGTACTTAATTTATTACTGAATAGAATTAGTTTTTATTCTGCAGGCAGGTGACAGAGTCAAGATGTTCTTTCAAATGAACACGTGCCTAGCTTTATCATTTATTCGTGTGGTTTATTTTCAGTTGAGTCAAAATAGAGAGTCAAACTGCTCAAGTTGCATGTTAACGCGCCGTGTAAAAAGGATGAATTGAACGGAGCGTAGGAGCTTTTCTGTTTTGTTCCATTTGTCAGAGAGATTTGTGCTGATGAGTGATTGACAGTTTGGGCTTGTCATCACCAAAAAAACCTTGTTTTTGTTTTTTTCTTTCATTAGAGCTCCAATCTTCACTTGTCATTCTTACAAACTGAAAAAAGGCCAAAACAAAGCGTTTCTCTGCGTCTCCATGTGTGGAGATTGTAAAACAAAAAGATGTACAGCGATGGCCAAGAAGAAACAGTATTCATTCATGTTTTGTTCTATTTGGATTTTTTTTTGTTTGTTCTTGTACAGAATGTGTATCGAGCATGTGCATATGATGAAATTAATTTTACTGCAAATATAACACAATGATGTCAATGTTTTTAACGAGTTTTATTTCTTCTTTTTTTTTTTAAACCCTTAATTATCTTTAAATACTGATTTAAAAAAAGAGCAGCTTGGCTCAAATATAAATGTTTTTAGACAACATATGTCTGTGCTCTCCTGCTGGTTTTGAAGTTTCCTCCATTTTGGGCTCGTTTTTATTTCCTCCGAGGACTAGATTACTCTGAACTGGAATTATTTTTAATAATTCTGTTCATCTTTAAAGAATTTTATGTACCGGTAGTTCATATTTAACCATATCTGCGTTTAAAATTAGCAACAGTGAGCAAGTATGAGAATAATCCCTTTAGACGTGATGTTGTCTTCATTGCTTTTAAAATATAAATGTATTCAGATGAAGCACATCCGAGAATGCTTTATCTGTGTTTAACATTTAGGAGCACAGAAAAAAAAGACATGCATTTTATTTATTAAAGCATCATTAAACTATTGTATAAAGTTCCATAAAAGCTATAAATATAAATGTTTGCATAATATTGTCTTATGATGATTCAGGGCGTTAAAATTTTATGGCTATAGTTTGCATCTTCCATAAAACGTAGACGTCACGTAAAAACACTCGTTTTGTGTCAGCTGGTGAATACAACTCATGAGAGAAGTTACAATTATATTAGGGGTGCACCGATTTCTAAAAAGTCTGCCCAGCCGATTTCGATTTTGACCGATTTTGTTTTATAAGCAACATTGTCAGGTGTTATAAGGTCACAATGACCTTCAATTTTCCAATTTTATTTGATTGAAAAACACCCTTGAACAATATCCTAAAATCTTGTTTTAACTGGCCATGAGGTAGTGCTCTGAAATATGAATGAAGTTCAGACAGTTGTTGTTAAAACTAAAAAAAAAACCTGTAAAACTGGTTTCTCATGCAAGTATCAGCCGATTTCCCCAAAATTAAGGAAATCTGGGCCGGTTTATCGGTGCACCCCTACTTAATATGCAACTACTCCATTGTTGTATTTTAGATGCTGTCACTGCAAAATAGAATCAGAATAAAACCAGAAATCTCTAAAGAAACATAGTGGAAGTGATGGCGCAGAGGTTAGAGAAGGTGAGCCTGTGATTGGAAGGTTGCTGGTTCAACCCCCAGAACTGACAGCATCAAAATGTGGGTGGGATAGGTGAAGCACCAACGCCTGCCTCCACCCTCATTTGCTCCGCTCTGGGACTTTGAGCAAGGCCCTTAACCCCCATCCTGTGCTCCACACAGAGGGCTGTGGAAGCTCCGTGGTTGTGTCAGGAAGGGAATCTGGCGTAAAAACAGTTGCCAAGTCTGCGTGCGACTTTGTTTCGCTGCGACGACCTCTGAGGAAGAAAGCAGCCAAAAACATGTCATGGGTTAGTTTTGAAAATAACTCGTCTGTGTGGTCATCTAAAACTAACACTGTAATTTTTTTTTAGATCTAAAGAAAGTGCTTTATGCTTTTGCAAAACTTGAATGAGTGTTCAGATCATCACAGGAATTATGTCCTCTTGAAGTTGATCGTGCAAACTTCAAGGCTTTTTCTTCAGCTGCTGCTTTTAATTTGTAACATTTCAACTGGTTAAAAATATATATATATCAGAGAATGTGTGCTCTTCATGCTTCCTTTGTCACGTTCCAGGAAGAAAATCTATTCGCTTCAGACCTGAGTGCTTCTTCGTCTATTTCCTTTAATCAACACGTTGCTCACATTTTATTTAATTTTATTTATTTTAGAAACTGAGATGCCGAAAGTTGTCCAACTTTAAAAACAGTCAAAGAAATTGATAATTTTTTTAGCTTCAAGTAAAAAAATAAAACAGAACTGGATATTAGACATAATTTGCTATAATCCATGTTTGAAGTTACCTTATGTTATACAGTATATTCAAAAACAGCTCCTGTTACATCCTTATTGTGTAAAAAAGTGTTTTTGTATATAAAAGGTCAAAGAGGGGAACGTGTATTTTCTTGTGTCAGTGTTTTGTCACAGTGGATTAAAATGTGTCGACAGGACATTCACTGTGCAGCAAAGAAGCTCATACATGAATATTACATGTTTTTGTTTGTGTTTGTTTTTTTTCTAGCGGCATCATATTTAGATGAAACAATCTAAAAATTGAATTGAGCAACACAAGCTAAGAAGTGTGGTTACTGTCATATTTCATCATTTTTCTTTCAAAGAACGAGCTCCTCTGAGAACTGAAGGCAGTACATTTTTCAGCATTTCGTGAAAGAATAGATCTTACAACCGTCTGAGGTCATCTTTGTTTACGAGACCGATCTGGGCTGCAGGCAGACATCCTTGTTCAATTATACACTTTGATTTTTGTGAGTTTGATTTCTGGCTAAGCCTAATGAGGTTCAAACAAGGCAAAGTTTTTTTTAGTTTATTTGTCTTGTTTTGCTTTAACTGCACAGCTCATTTTGTGACATTACTTTTTGTTTATTTTGCCATTTAACAGCTGCAAGAAACTTAAGACTTCTAGGGAAATCATTAAAGCAGAACATGAAGCTTTGAAACTTACCACAGTTAAGCACTTTGTCTGAAATCGGCTGCATTTTAGCCTTTGTTTTAGACCTTTGACAAGAAGGTGAAGAAGAGCAGCCTTATTGGGATTTCAGTCGGATATAATTTGTGTTGGCACATGGAAGAAGAAAAGAACAATAAAAGAAAGATGTTGCAGGTTCACTGGGATCAGATTGCAAATACAAAGTGACTAATGATTGATTTTGGCTGATTTTTATGGCCATTACATTTTTTTAAGTTAAATGAAAATGGTCAGTAAAGATGAGATATAATTTTTTTGTTTTTTTAAAAAGCATAATAGTTTTTCTCCTAATAAAACATTAAAAAAAAAATCTTTAAAAGGCAAGTTTCATATGTTTTTCATGCCAGGTGTCAAACACAAAAGCCTTTAATTGCTTTTTCCAACGGAAAGGCACCCAGTTTTGGTTGAAATCCAAACTTCTACTCAAGTGGGCAGAAAAAAATGAGCAGTACAATAAATTGAGGGGAAATGAACACAGTAAAAACACCTATTAGGCTACACACAGCAAAAAGTCAGAAAATTTGTGGACTCTTCATGCTGTTTCTGAAACTCAATGAGATAAAACCGTGTTCCTGATCCAACTCTGACAAGTTTATATTTTCATGACCAAATTATGTTGCTGCAAGCAACAGAGCTTTGAATGAGCCCAACTGCAGGTGAACAGGAAACTAGTCTTATAGTTCTAAGAGGAAACGGTCTCAACACAGCATCCTCACAGCCTGCATCAAACACATTAATCAAAGGTAACAAAATGAAACGGCATGACAAATCTAAATACCTTTTATTTATTTATTTATTTAATGATGGTAAACTTATTCTAAAACATTGTAAATAAAGTAATTTGTTCCAGTAATGTGTGGTTCTCATCACACCGATTAATTCATTCAACCTTTATTTATAGGCCTACTGGTTAATGAGTTAATCGTTGCACCCAAACAACAATTCAGTCTATTCACACTGAGCAAAAGCTAATAAATTGTGATTCTATGTAAGTTAAAATGTTACTTTTTTCTATTTTTTAACAAAAGACAAACATGGTATTTTTTTTTTTTGAGTATAATCCCATTAAAGTTTAACTTGTCAATATTTCAAGTTGAACAAAACCTCAACAAAAGGTAAAGCAATTTCAAACAATAGCACTATTACTACTACTACTACTTATACTAATAGTGTAATTAAAAAAAAAAAAAAAAATCGTGTGCTTGCGCAGTACACCGAGTAACGGTGGTAAAAAAACGGCGGAAACAAAGTATTCAAGTTTTTGTTCCTGCCCGGTTCGTTTTGCACGGTAACACACCGGATGCCATCGTTTGTCGAACCATTGTGAATCGTATCTCAGGTTCTGCCTTCGTTTCTGAACTCTTTGTACTCCATGTAAGTATTTTTATTGTTTTGGAAACCATAAATGACGCCACTTAAATCGAGATTCATGTTTTATTTTAAAGTTACAGACTTCTATTAGTCCATGAGTTGCATGCTAAGCTAACGTTAGCATACAGAGAGGAAAGCGCTGTAGTGTAGAACGCGTCAGTTTAGTCTAATTTTAGATTAAAATAAAACATAATTTTCTAAAACCCCAAGAAAAAAGCTATATTCACAAGAAGCAAGTTGGAGTAAAAAAAAATAAGGTAGCTTGTTTGTTTTTGCCGAGAATCGATTTTTGTTTATCATTTACCAGACGATTGTTTTTATATATTTATATTTTGTTTTGTTTAAACTTCAACTAAATTAGCGATCGTAGCATTATATTTCTACTCGTAAGACAACTAGAGGCAGTGTTAGGATGATGGGGTTACATTTTTGGTTTGTAAAAACCTTTCCAATAATATGTAATCTTTTTATTTTTACTGTTTGAATTTCTGGTCACTTTTCTGACACAAACTGTTTTCATCTTTATACAACATTTCTAACAACAAAATTACACCCATTTATTAACTAATTATTTCGTTTCTCATTTTGTTCAACATGCTAAAACATAAAAATATCAAATGTTCAAAGCATGAATTGCACAACAATTGTCAAGGTAATTTACATTTTGCTGGAAAACTATATATAAATTATAAACAAATTAACACAATAATAAGTTATATTAAGACTGACGAACAAAGCCACAGTGTTGCGTATTTTAAAAATTTAAATGGATCTCTGTCTTCGAAAGTTGACCAACAGTCCTGTTAGAGGCTGCAAAAAACAAATTTACTGTAACTCAAGCCGTGAAGAAATGCAAGCCTATCTAACCTCCATGCATCAGCAAGTGATAGATAATTATTGTACTTTTAGATAAGCGCTGGACATTTGGGAAATAAATCTGAAGTGTTTCAATGCTAATGTGTGCAACTCTTTTTATCCTCCCATCCAGACTGACTCATCTCTGGAAGAATGACGGACCGGTACAACATCCACAGCCAGCTCGAACATCTCCAGTCGAAGTACATCGGTACAGGACACGCAGACACCAGCAAGTGGGAATGGCTGGTCAACCAGCACCGGGACTCCTATTGCTCCTACATGGGACACTTTGACCTACTCAACTACTTCTCTGTTGCTGAGAACGAGAGCAAGGCGCGTGTACGCTTCAACCTAATGGAGAAGATGCTTCAGCCTTGTGGGCCACCAGCAGACAAACCAGATGATTCTTAGATTACACAGTGAGCTGTGTGAGCTGTCACTTTTTTTTTTTTTTTCTCAGCTGAGTCATTTTCTTGGACATTTAGTTATTTTCTACAAAAAGTTCTGTTCTTTTACATTCTTGTCATCCTAGCCAACAATGTCAGAGCTAAAATTTGGTGTGGTGGTAGCTGAGTCATCGCCAACACACTGAGCAGATTGTTCAAGATTTTTGTTAAAAATTATGTAAGGTGTTAGACGGCGTGCATTCCTTCAAGGAATTTCAGTTTCAAATTACAATGAATTAAAGTTTTTTTGTCTTTCTGTCACCGTGTAGATCTGTGCCAACTGACTTGAACCTTTTGTGTTAACAGTTTTCTAAAGATAAAAGAAAACGCCCAACAAAGTTTAGTCAGGTCATCTGGATGTTTTTTTTTTTTTTTTGTTGAGACATTTCGTCCTTCATCCAAAGGACTTCATCAGTCTGAGGAGCCACAACAAACTCAGTCCCACAAGCAGCACACTCGCATACACACAAAAAGAAACGTCCAGATGACCTGACTGAACTTTGTTGAATTTTTTTGCCTGGATGAACATGAACTTTGATTTAAGAGAAAACTGTTAGCTGCTCCAAAAATTACAATCACAGTTTAATTTTTACAGAAAGCTAGCAGCTGTTGTTTTTTTCTTTACTTTTATTTTACATCAGGAACACGTTAAAACTATGCAGAAATTTTTCTATGGTTCTTTAAAAAAATTAAACAAATGTACTCATCATGGCAAAAGACAGCTTTTGATTTTACAACCTTCACGTTTGATACCATGCCACGTTATTTATAAAGCACTTAAAACAGCAACAAGGCCAACGAAGAGTTTCTCGCAGAACTTTTTATTATTAATCTCACATTTCAGCACCGATGACAAAATGTCAATAACATTTCAAATGAATAAAAATCTTTGTAAAATAAAGAATGCAGAATGGCCTCACCAACAAACTGGTGAGTTACACGATTAAATGAACTGTTTATTCAGTTTTCAAGTTTTAATAAGTTTTTCTATTGCAGGCATATGAAATATGACTTTTAAATTTTTACAATAATTTAAACATCGGAAAGTTCAACTTCCTATTTGATAAAGAACCTTAATGTGTGTTTTTGCATTTATAACAGCAGCACAGTTCAGTCCAGAGCAAGTCCTCCTACACCGTCTCCCACGTGCATTAACTCTCAGCTGCCCACTCACACTGTGGGTCGACAGATCATCTGTGCATGACCTCTTGTCTTGCTGCATCTTATTTTTTAAACATGCCTAATTAATTTGTCTGACGTAATGTATGAAAGACCTAAAACTAGTAGGTTTGATTCTTTTGTCTTGACAGAATCTAACAACAATCTTGCTTCAAAGTGCAAATTAGCCCCTCAAAAGATGATCAGGGACATAACTCAGCTCAGGATGGACACCGGGGGATTTTCCATGACTGGCTGTGATAATGTGCCACCTCCCATGACATGTTTTTCTAACGTGAACTGTTGATGAAAACGTGAGCAGCTTGCTCACTTTGGGGCTCCTGTGGTGTGCGACAAGAAAAAAGCCGCAGGTGTTGTGCTCCGACTTGCTGACTCGAGGTAATTCATCAAAACATGCTGGCACCCAGATTTAGTCACAAACACAGGTCTTGGAGGAGCTGCCGTGCACGATGACTCATTGTTGGATGGAGGGAGTCGGTGGGCGCTGAGGAAATTCTTACACTGCTTCTTTACCTGGTGTGTGTTGGTTTCTTCTTGGTGGGGGAAGTCTTTGCCGTCTGTCTGCGCTGTGAGACTGAGAGATGCCAAGTCAGGCGTGAATCCAGCCAGGCTGCCATCACACACACACACACACGTACAAATACACAACAGTGACAGAAGCTGCTTGATCTGAGCCATAAATAGACACAGACTCTTTCCAGCTCTAAATGACTGTCTCACATTTGATATTTGAGTATTTACAAGTTTAGTATAAAGAAAATTTATTAGAGGGGCGGCTGTGGCTTAGTGGTTAGAGCAGTCGTTTTCCAATGCAAGAGTTGGGGGTTCGATTCCACCAGCAGTCACATGCTGAAGTGTCCCTGGGCAAGACACTGAACCCCTCATTGCCTCCGATGTGTGTCCCATTGGTGTATGAATGTGATAAAGCTCTGATTAATCTTTGTACAGAAGTAGTAGAGTGCCTTATGAATGGGTAAATGAGGACATGTAAAGCGCTTTGAGTATCTCAATAAGATAAAAAGGTGCTATATAAGTACAGTCCATTTTAAGAACATGGACTTCCACTCTGATGGAAATACAGTATCTGCTGTATATTGTGTTTCAGCACATTCAAAATTCTTGTCAACAACAAAAATAGCTGTGTGGTTACATTTCTGCGTAGAATTTCACTTTTAGACATTTAAATGACACAAATAAGTGTTTAAATGAGGATTATTCTACATTTTCTGTACTCAGCTCTAGCACAGTAAGACACTGTGCACACTTTTAGTCTAAGTGATTATTCTGCACGCAGCACGGTGGCGCAACTGGTAGAGCTGCTGCCTCTCAGCGAGCAGGTCCCCGGTTCAAATCCCGGTCCGGGGGCCTTTCTGGGTGGAGTTTGCATGTTCTCTCCGTGCATGCGTGGGTTTTCTCCGGGTACTCCGGTTTCCTCCCACAGACCAAAAACATGCATGTTAGGCTAATTGGTAACTCTAAATTGTCCCTAGGTGTGAGTGAGAGAGTGAATGGTTGTTTGTCTCGTTTGTCTCTATGTGTCCCTGTGATGGACTTGCGACCCGTCCAGGGTGTACCCCGCCCCTCGCACAGTGATTGCTGGACATGGGCACCGGCGACCCCCGTGACCCAAAAATGGAATAAACGGGTAAAGAAAATGGATGGATGGATTATTCTGCACTTCATGCATATTTTCTATTTACTATCCAAGTGGTTTTTTAAAATGTAAATTCATATAATTTTCAATATTTTCTGTGCATGTTACTGGAGCTCTTGTACAGTACTTTTACTTTACGTCTGAAATACAATGTCAGTATTAGTTTTTTTTAATCTTCATTTGATATGTGTATTTGTAGTATAAGTGTGTGTAATAAAATACTAATCATTTACTATTAAAAGAAAGAAAATCAACTCTATCAGACTTAGCAAAACTCCTCTAACGCCGCATTTCAAGGCTGCAGATCATCAGGTTTCTAAAAGGGCACATTATTAAATATGCAGACACATGATCATTATACAGAAAGTTTTTTTTTTTTTTAAGAATTAGGAATAAGATTTTCTAACTGAATTAAAAATGCAGGGTCAAAAGTGGACTAAAAAGCTTTCAAAGATTTTATGGAAGGGGATAAGTAGATCATTACTAGACGAAGCACCAGTATTAGTCAAATCTATGCAAACTAGAATACACGTTAGCTCTGACACTTCTTTCTATAGTTTCTTAGCATAGTTTTAGAATTAAAAAAGAAAACTCAACCCCCCAGGTTTCCATGGGGTTCTAAAGCAAATTAATTTCAACATTGTCAGTAAGTTCACCAATATAATTAATGCCTTGTAATAAAAGTAAAATATTTCAGCACCAAATTTATATGTGCAGTTTAACCACAAGCTCTTAAAACCAACATTAAAGATTTTACTTTTGCAGAAAAAGTTGCTTTTATTAAATGCTGTATTTAAAAATTCCCAAATAAAATGTCAACAAAGTGAACTGCAAATTTAAAAAATGTAAATTAACTTAGCATGCATGATTTTGAAATGTGACAGGAAGTTGGAGAACTTTAAGAGAACAGGGACACCATATAAACTCCATACAGATGACCTGCCATGAAGCTTGTTAACTACACAAGCATTTACAAGTTCAAGAGTATGATTTGTTATTTGTGGTTGTTATAATAGAAATAACGAAAAAAAACAAAAAAAACCCAGAAAGAAGCAACTGTCAGGATCCAGTCTGTCCCAGACTTTGACCCTATGTGTTTTTCCACATTTGCCTCTGGAGCTGTAGGTAGGCCAAAACTGTTCTGCACTCCCTGGTTCCAATATTCTGTTTCAAACATCTGTTGTGGATTTTCCTGCTTTAAACTGTCTCAACACAGAAACAGGCGAAATTAAAGATGTCTTTAAAAAATTATATTTGAATTTGTTTATTGCAATAAACAGACACACGTTACAGTGTGTATGACAAACAACAAAGTCCATCAAAAATAATCAATCAATAATCCAGGTATACAATCCAACATTTTTCAGTCAGGTCATCTGGGCAGTTTTTTTTTTTTTTTTGTGCTGAATCGTTTCGCCTTCGGTCCGGAAGGCTTCATCAGTCAAGGAAACGCACAACAAAACTGATTTTCAGCACAGATAAAAAAACTGTCCAGATGACCTGACTGAAAAATGTTGGATTGTATACCTGGATTATTGAGCATGGACTTTGTTGTTTTCAACCAGTTTGACAAGACTGTCAACAAGGAAGAGGGCTGGCAATGGAGCAGGGGGCGTACCAAAGAGACCATCTTATCACATCAGAACTGGTTTGTTCCACTTTGGAGTAAGCTGTTGGGAAAAATCAGTTTTGTTGTGTGTTTCCTTGACTGATGAAGCTTTCTGGATTGAAGGCAAAACGTTTCAGCACAAAAAAAAAAAGAAACTGTCCAGATGACCTGACTGAAAAATGTTGGTGTGTATGACAAACAGTTTAATCCAGTTTTATAGCTCTCTCGTTCATGTGATAATAAAAGACAAGGAAAATATGGCCAAAAAGCAAGGACATTATTTGTAACCTGTGTTTTGTGATAACTGGGCTGATCATTTACGTACTCCTGTTCTAGAGAGATTAAAATAAAACAAGTTAAACCCTTCAAGACCTATCAATTATGAGATGTCATGTTCTATGTTGATAAACGAGATGCATGATTCATCCTTATTTCACAATCACCCTGAGCACAGCATTTTCCACTAGACAGACACATAATATGCATTTTAATATTTACAGTTATATTCAAGGTAAAATACAAAAGCTTTCTATAATACGTCTCACTGGTGTTCAATTATCTCGTCATACACTCTTACTTCATATCAGCTCAGTCCACTGTCCATGTCCCAACTGTACTGTTGATTATTTGACAATATGCTGGTGTATATTGTCAGTCATCCAGGATATGGAATTTAAAAAATGAATTTATATTCTAATGTTTTATCAAGTCAGGGAGGAAATCAGAATAAACGTCACAGAACTAAATGAGAAAAAAAAAACATTCAGTAATGTTTAGTATGTTGCTGGAGTATCTGAGGGACTCTGAAGACTCTTCTATTCAGTTCAGTTTATTTATTCAGCACCAAGTCACAACAGAAGTCGTCTCAGGGCACTGAACAGAAACATTCATATACATAAAAGTAAGTTAAAAACATTATTTAT